CCAATTTTTTATTATTAAATGTTAAAGGAAAGGATGTAAGGATAAGTCGAATTGCTGTCAACTAAGCACATAATTTTCGCTTATTATAAATTTTAGAATCTCATGCGAACTTAAAATATTCAATGCACACATGGTCTTGTTATTTTTATTCAAAGATCAAAAATTTCAAAGTTAGAAGTTTGTCTATAAGAAAAAAAGGGTGTATATCAAATATGTAATAAAATACGGCTAACTCCAGAAACGAAAACTCTTCCAAGTTCAGAAGGAGATAAATCTAGTCCCATTACATCGCCTGCATGACCATGAAAACTCTGCATCATCTGCCCAGACTCAACATCCCATAGGACACAAGAACTGTCACCACTTCCAGTGAGTAATTGATGATCGGAGAGGTTAAATTGACAGCATGATAAATACGAAGTATGTGTAGCAACTAGTTTCTTTTTTAGCACAGGATCTTCATCAAGTAGAAGAGGATAAATCGTACATTTATTATCAATGCCCCTAAATCAATAAAATAAAGGTATGAGAGATACCCGCATGCAACAAGGCCACCGGAAGGGCTATAGGCGCACGCTAATACCCATGTCGTAGGCATGGATATAGAATATTCTTTTGACGAAGTAAAAGCATCCCACACATGCAATTTGCCGTCCTTGGACAGTAATAATATTTATTTTACCTGAGAAGAGCTTATTAAATGCCTTTTATCCTGCGACCAAGAGAGGCACAAAACTTTGCCCTGATGACCTTTTAAGATGCGACGCACCTTAATATGGAGTGCAGGAAGAGGGTCTAAATTTTGGCTCATCTGACTAACTTATTAAATACATAAAAGAACAATTGTAGTGTTACGTTCTCCATCATTAAGGCGATTTTTTTCATCTTCTAATTTTCTTTTTAGATTTTCGATTTCTTTGGACAAATCCAAATCGTCTTTCTCAAACTCTTGAGAATCACAAGCCATGTTTGAAATTGCGATATGAGAATATATATGTTTATAAAGGACTAAAATTATTTGTAAAATATGTCTAGTTGAGAATACACATAAAGAGCGCGAATGGAGAGAAGTTGATATAGGTATTAAACCTTTAGACTAGTAAAACAAAATAAGAATAATTAACTTAGAATAGATTTAGCTTAGAACTTAGACCATTTATGA